CGACCTTACCACTGGTGTGTAACTCATACATGGGAGCCGCCGCCGAGTGGAGGTTTGACTGTAAATCACATGTAAACTACGTGGTAAGGAGTTGAGAATAGAGCGTTAAAACACTTCTGGATTAACAGAAAATTGCCGTAGCGACAAATACTGCACAGGATAAGCAGCATCTAATTCAGATAAACGTACTTCTTACCATTTTTATACTGGTTTTTTTTTTCTCTAGTTTGATTGGTTGGCTGCGACTTGTTAGATATGGGTGCGTGTCCGACGTTTACAAATTGAGCACAAGAGTAGACATGCTATCCGGTCATATGGGTCATCTGGACCGTGATGATCAAACACATCAGATTTAGTTTTCCCCATCTGAAATCTTGAAGAAGGAAAATTGGTTGGTAACATCGCGAAGAGAACCACACCTGAAGTTTCGGGTTTCATTGGCCCTGTCAAAGAATGGAACACAAACTAACTCGTGTTCACATTACTGTGAAGTCTTCCTTGTCAGATGAGGCCAAATCAAAGCATGATGAAGGATGAAAAATCCGGCGGAATCAGTTGGACGATTTGCACGAGAACTAAAGGCTTAACATACTTGGTATACTGGGAACAGCAATATATCATTACAAACACCGTCTACATCTGAAGACATAATCCGTGATTTCCCTACAGTCAACCTTTAAATTTACCTTTGAAAACAATGCTTTTATATTTGAAATAGTTGACAGAGAAGAAAGAATAACTTCTCAGCATGCCAGCCGGTCAAGGCAATAACATCTTTATCCAAAACGCTCTTGAGAAAACAAAATGTAGACTTTATTTAGAACTGCTATTTCATTAAAAGACATTGGAAACAACCTGCTACATGGCTAGTTGTTAGACGAACTGCCAGTTGTCCCAGTTTACTATACCATTCCTAGCAATAAAACGGGCCTCTGAGCGACGTCCTGTATCACATGAAATGCCAGAGACTGCACCAAAGTTCATCCGGACCTTTTCACAGATGTTTCTATGCATTGAGTGTCTTTCAAGGACACTAATGAAATGACATGAACACGACGCCTCCATCGAGCCTGCTCTAACATAAGGTAATTGAATTGACCCCTGCAATCACACCAGCGTGGCGGCAGACTTACGGATGTGAGCCCGCAGCCGTGCCGTGCCTGTTACCCCGCCGTGTAGTATACGTCTTCGTTACGAGCTCACCATCCGCGCGGGTTTATTAATAGGATCGTGCGGATGTCTATTTGTCATGTATAAGCCGCTTTATTGCAGCGAGAGAAACGGTCACACCTCGTGATCTCGAAAGCAATCGGCAGGTTGACCCTGACCATCAGCTGCGGGTTAATACAGTCGCGAGAAGTACTTATCCCGGCAAGTGCAAAATTTGATTTTCATGGTTTTTTGCTTCCTCGATGGCCGACATCAATCTCGTGATGCTCCCATCTCCCGTCCCGGCTCCGGTCGTAAAGAATCCTGCATCAGGGCGAGATGCGCAGATTCTGTGGTTTTTGAGTGATGATTTTGTGGTGATGAGACCCACAAATTCTGAAGAGCACACGTCAAAACCTCATAACCGGCCGTAAATTCAACACAAAACTGCCGTCTGATGAAACAGATCAGCATAAGTGAGACGATCATAACGGATATCATTTTATTTCTTTATCATCTTCACGGACAGAAGGAGCGCTAGCATTGCAAATCGACTCGAGAGTACATCAAGTTCACGCTTGAGCCATGATGTTAGCAATAGAATTTGGCTACAATTATGTAAGAAGCATGAAACATCACCGTAGATTCTTGGTAGCCCGTCGTAAAATCGATGGACTTCCAAGAATTTTCGAAAAAATAGAAGGAAGATAAAGTAACATACAAGACATTAGCTGACGAAAGTACGTGGATCTCTAATAAATGTTTTTCTAACGCAATTATCTCTCCAGCAATTACATTTACATTGACGAACTGAAGGCATTTTAATGAATCTTTTTGATATAGGACAGTCACCATACGCCATATTAAATTATTGCTTTCCATTGCAGGACATTACGACACGGTGAGGTCAAAGGTCCCGGGAAAGTGGCTGTTGGGGTGACAGCTTAAAAGGTTCCATATGGCCGGGCAGCCGGTCTGACGGGACCGACAGGATAATCTCTTCAACTTAAAAGTCACAAAATTGATCGACATGACACCGGCAAAGTGGTAATAACATTATCACACAGTCTCCAAGACTTTTATCACGTGAGTAAAACATTATGGTAGCAGCAACGGTGACTTGTTATCATAAAACTGGCGGGTAAACGTGCCAAAAAAACACTCTGACTGTCCATGTCATTACTCAAGACGTAACAAAAACGCAGACGTGAATAAGGTGATGGTCACACTGCTGTATCTGTGTCTGTATTTCCGGTATAACGCCCTTCGGCGTAACACACCAGCTTCGCACACACTTCGCACACTACATGCTGTATTACATTGTTTAAGACAACCAAATTCATGTAAGGGCACCCAAACATAGATAGTAATTGTATCTCTTCATCTGATGGCATGAGCTATCATCACCAAGAGATTATCTTGAGTGGTTATTAAAACATAAATTCATGGTGTTAACACAATAATCACTGGCATGACATTTGAAACAGTGCCAATATTTTTATCACTTAGCCAAAGGCCCATTTCGCACACACACAAAAGGCGGAAAACGATTGGTGCTTATTTTGCCTTCGGCGGAACAGCAATCAGCACTGGTGGTCCTAGTTGTCTTGGCGACTTCGGGTCACCAGCATCTCACAGGAGAAGTTGTGCAGAGCGTCGTGGGCCTCTGGAACAACCAGACAAGTACGGTGTCAGCTGCGCAAAAAAGGAATGGTAGTGGAATAGTATTTGTACCGAGGGAAACGGGGAATTGTGCGGTTATAGAGGGTATATTGTTTGTTTCTCTAAGATGTGCCTTAATTTGTGTAGAAACACGCTAACATTGTATCTTCTCCTCTGTCCTATCATTACATTTGCAGTTTTGATTGATCCAAAGTAAATTGGAGCTAACTACCAAGAATACGGGAAACCTGATGATGATAACCAAGAATGCAGCTCCATCCTGTACCATGTACATGTACATTTACCGACACTTATTCCCAAGTTCCTTCCCCGTTTGAGTGTGTTTTCGGAAGTGGAGCTGCTTACTTGTGACGATTTAATAGCCTGACATCGGTGAATCATTACACACTGACTCCGATCACTAACTCATAAAGTGCCCGGCTTCAAGCGAACAGTTGCCGCGTTAAGGGTTGAGAATACTCCAACCTCTCGCACGGGTAAATCCCCGTCGCTTCAGCTCTTAGTGCACACAATCTAAAAGCTAATGCGTGTCACCAGTTTCCCTAGAATTGGCTCAGTCTCAACGCTCCAAAGATCAAATGGCCGTGTTAACCTCCTGACTCAGAGGACTGCTGTCTCGTGAAAATTCCATTAACTGGTGAGTGTTTTCCTGTCGACAAAACTATTGTTTTAACGAGTTACCCCAGGTCAGCGGTACACGTACATTAGAGTCGCGGGCATAAATCTGTGAGAGGTGACGGCCAGGGAGGCCTCATGGGCCTTGAACATGACTCGCGCCTAAAACACTCTGAGAAAGTGCATCATTCAAGAATGCGTGACTTTATCAGCAACTTATTGTACGAACTCGTGATGCCACATAGACTACAGTGAGAAATACAACAACTTGCGAGTGTCTAGTATGTTTAACACTGTGATATTGCACTAATCTGTCCGCAGATATTGAGAAGGTTGTGACGCCCAGCTATTACATATTAGTGCTCGACATTCTTTATCTGAAAATTGACAAAAAATCTGGAAGCCAAAAATATGCAGCGGTTTTCCCGCCAAACATATTCTTGGAACTGTACTTGGTCTCAGTGTTCACCTATCTGAATGCCAATTACTAAACTTTGTACATGTTACATCGCACTTAATTTGGCGGCATTGCAGTTACATCAGACAACAGATATGTACCACACTACGCTGCTAGTTAATGTAACTCCCTGACCACCCCCAGTCCAGCACCGACCTT